TTTCTCTCTGTCTCTCTCTCTCACTGTCTAACTCTGCCTGTCAAAAAAAAAAAAAAAAAAAATCCACTCTTAGCAAATTTTGAGCATTCACTGTATTAACATTTTCTTAAAAAGATTTATTTATTTGAAAGGCAGAGATGCAGAGAGAGAGAGACAAAGAGAGAGAGAGAGAGGTCATCCATCTGCTGGTCCATGTCCTAAATGGCCACAATGGCTGGGGCTGGGCCATGCTAAAGCCAGGAGCCAAGAGCCAGGAGCTTCTTCCTGGTTTCCCAAATGGGTGCAGGGGCCCAAGCACTTGGGCATCTTCTGCTGCTTTGCCAGGCGCATTAGCAGGAAGCTGGATCAGAAGTGGAGCAGCTGGCACTCAAAATGGTGCCCATGTGGGATGCTGATGCTACAGGTGGCGTCTTTACCTTCTATGCCACAGCACCAGCCCCTGTATATTATCCATAGTCAGCGTATTTGCATTGGATCCCAAAAAGTTAATCCTTTTATAACAACATGCTAGCCCAAAGAATGGATTTAAACAAAACAGTTTATTTGAAACACAGAGTTAGGGAGAGAGAGAGAGGGAGAGGCACAAAGAGCAAGAGCTCTTCCATCTACTGGTTCACTCCCCAAATGGCTGCAACCAATGACTGGAGCTGGGTAAGGCCAGAGCCAGGAGCCCGGAGCTTCTTCTGGATCTCCCACATGGGTGCAGGGACACTTTATCAGGGGCTGGATTGGAAGCAGAGCAGCCAAGTTTTGAACTGGCATCCATTTGGGAGGCCAGCATCACAGGTGGCAGCTTTAACTGGTATGTTATAATGCTGGTTCCCCAAGATGGATTTTAACACTTTAAAAATGTTAAAAAAACAAAACAAGAACGGGCATGCATTGTGACAGAGTGGATTAAGCTGCTGCTTGGGACACTGGAATCCCTGGGAGCTGGTGCTGTGGCACAGTGGGTTAAAGCCCCAGCCTGCAGTGCCGGCATCCCCTATGGGCGCCTGTTCTAGTCCCGGCTGCTCCTCTTTCAATCCAGCTCCCTGCTATTTCCTGGGAAGGCAATAGAAGACGGCCCAACTCCTTGGGCCCCTGCACCCACGTGGGAGACCTGGAAAAAGCTCCTGGCTCCTGGCTTCGGATTGGCGCAGCTCCGGCCATTTTGGCCATCTTGGGGGTGAACCAGCAGATGAAGACCTCTCTTTGTCTCTACCTCTCTCTGTAACTCTTTCAAAGAAATAAATCTTAAAAAAAAAAAAAGTGCTTGGTTCCAGCTACAACCCAGCTGTCTATCAATGCATACCCTGAGAGGCAGCAGGTGGTAACTCAAGTGTTTGGGCCCCTTCCACCAATGTGGAACATGAAGATGGAGTTCTAGGGTCTGGGCTTTGGCCTGGGGCAGCCCTACTACTGGGGGAAGCTGGGGAGTGAATCAGGGGATGGAAGATCTTTGCCTCTCTCTCTTGCTCTGCCTTTCAAGTAGCTGAAAGTAAATGAATGGAAAAAACAGAACAAAAATATCTGACAGGGTCTATATGTAAATCACAAAACCTACGCTATTTATTATCTGACCCTATTCAGAAGTTCACTTGCATCTAAGCGCAGATGGGGCAGATTTGATCAAAGTTACTCCCTTTACAAAGATTGGAATAAAAATTTGGCATGATCTTGATTTCCAGGAGCCTAAACACCTCTGCAATTACTGAGGCCTTCCTGGTAGTTGTCATGATGTTTCAGTAATACTACATTATTAGGGCTGGCATTTGACAAGTGGAACCTAGGAGGAGGAATCGGAAGAAACATGCATTTTCAATATTCAGTCACAGCCATATTTGGTGGGCAATCTCTTTAACGCAGTATTTGCTGTTAATTTCGAAAGCTGACCTGGAAGCTCTGGCTTTGTGAATCCCAACAGGAGGGCACCTGCAGAGGTGCTGTGTTCACAGGAGTCTCACCTTCAGTAGGGCAGGATGAACTTTTGTGGTTGTGACTAAAAAACTCATAATTTTATCATTTATTCTCAACCCAAATTAAACAAACTTTGATACAATTCAGTTGATTAATGGCCTGTGCTGTGCAGGTAAAGCCACCGCCTGCAGTGCCAGCATCCCATAAGGGCCCCGAGTTCTGGCTGCTCCACTTCTGATCCAGCTCTCTGTTATGGCCTGGGAAAGCAGTAGAAGATGGCCCAAGTCCCTGGGCCCCTGCACCTACGTGGGAGACCTGGAAGAAGCTCCTGCCTCCTGGCTTTGGATTGGCGCACCTCCTGCTGTTCTAACACTCCTCAGGTTCCATAATCCATGAGACACATTTGCAGAATCATCAGTGTTGTGACCACAGTGTCTACAGTAGACGTGTTTGATGAAATCACTGGTCATGGGTTTGGGATTCAGTCTCCACCCCCACACTCCTCCCAGGAGGCCAGACTCCTGCAAGGTTTTAACCCTCTAATCAAGTGGCTGGTGTTTCTGGTGACCAGTTCCAGTTCTGAAGCTAGTTAGGGGCTCACCAAGAGTCATCTTATTAGGATAAAAAATTCCTGTCACTCAGGAAATGCCAAAGGTTTTTGAAGCTCTGTGCCAGGAACCAGGGACAAAGGCAGATATATTCTTTATTATACCACATTATTTAATCTTGTGTGTTTTATGGAAGCTCTTTTAAACCATGAAGCCTCATTTACTGGAAGAAATACCTATTTTTAGTCATAGGTCATTTGAACAATTAAATTGACCTTTGGCTGAGTTCTAGGCCAAGAGAAAAAAGTTAATGACAAATAAATTATTTGTATCCTCTCCCTAATTTGGGAGAGAGGAAAAGGAATATCTATGATTTTAGGTACAACAGGAATGAGTAATTGGAAAAAATTTAAAACTTTCTAGAATATATACCATGTTCTAATGAAAAAAAAAATGGTATCAGGGTGAAGTAAACTAGCTTGTTATGTAGAATATGCTCAATGACAAACTTTTCCTTCCATTTGTTGACTTTTAAAATGTAAATTCCACCTTGATTTCCATTATCTTAAGTGAGAGGAACGTTGGTTGGTATCTGCAACAGAACTAAGAAAAGAGGTGGCCAATAGCAGAATCCTTGGGATAGGCTCAGTCCTTAATTTCCATAGACTTCTACATCTTGCAACCAGTTTACAAATTTTGTTCTGCTAAATAAAATTTAGAGAAAGCCAGGGGTTTGGACTGAGCTCCCGCTAGGTTCCACAGACCAAACCCAAGAGTCAGGGATGCTAATATGTCAGGTCACCAAGCTGATGACTTTAGGGAAATCAGAATGAGCAGAACAGCCAAACCCCTTAACATAGCATAAGGAAGTCCCCTCTGCTTTAACCCTTATCAGCAGTTTTGAAATGACCAATCTGCTTTTTGTCCTGTTTCTACTTTGTTCAGCTCCTCGCTGTCTATAAAGCCAACCGTCTCCAGAAGGCTCAGCTCATTAGAATACTCATTCTGTATTTTGGAATGACAGGCTGCATAAGTCTAAAATGGCAATAAAGCCACTTAAGATCTTTCAATGAAATTGGCTCTAATCTTGTCTTTTTTTTTTTTTTTTTTTTTTTTTTTGATAGTTCTTTATCTGTAAAGTGTTCAGTGGAATTTTAGGCAATGCCACTGCCTGGACATGGGAGACAATGGAATGGCGTTTTCACCCGGAGGGAATCAGAGTGCAGAAGAGAGCTGCCCCAGAGGACTCTCAAAGGGCTGTGGCTCAGTGAGAGCTGGCAGTGACCCAACACTGCCGAGATGGCTTTGTGGAATAAATTATCTTTGCTGCAAAGTCACAAAAATCACAGTAATAAACTTGGTAAGAATGGTCAGTATGAACTCAATGTGTCACTTATTCTAAAAACAGAAATGACACCTACTTTTATTATCATAGGTTGACAAGCTAGGTATCAGCTATGTATCTTCTTTTAAAAAATTTTTTACTTATTTGAAAGGCAGAGAGAGAGACTCCTATTTTGATTGGCTAGAAGGAAACTGGCTGAGAAGTAGAGGCAGGCGTTGGGAGAGGAATGGCTGTTGTGGTGTAGTGGATTCAGCCACTGCTCGGGATGCCCTCAGCCTGCATTAGAGTTACAGTTCAAGTCCCAGGTATGCCATTTTGATCCTGCTTCCCGCTAATATGCCTGGGAAGTGGATGATGATGGCCCAAGTGACCTGGTTCCTGCTATTTACTGGGGACCTGGATGGAGTTCTGGGCTCCTGGCTCTGGCCTGACCCAGACCTGGCTGTTGCTGGCATTTGGGGAGTGCACCAGTGGAGGGAAGATCTTTCTCTCCTTCTGTCAGTCTTCCTTTCAAATAAACAAATAAATATTAAAAAGAAAAAAGTGGAGGTGGGCCTCAATTCCATGTATGCTAATATGGGATGCAGGTGTGCCAAGCAGAGGTTTAACTCGCTGTAACTAACACAAGGCCCGCTCAAAGGAAGGGAACTTTTTAACTAACACTTTGCAATCAGAAAATTGCCAGAATTGGAAAAAATAAGAAATGATGATGCTGTTATGGACTACTAAAGTGGCCCAGCAACCAAAAATGCAGACCCAGGAGCAGGTGTTTGTGCCAGTAGTTAGGACTTTATTAGTGGGTAGGAGCTCCATCTCTTGCATCAATCAATAAAAATAAATAAGTGATACAAAAAAATGTAGACCTAGATTCTACAAGAAAAGGAGTGGAAAGTGTGGGCACGTGGCACGTGCAGTATCCACAGGTTGGGTATCAAAGTGAGAACAAGATGAACAGAGGGCTGGGTTGGCCCCAGCGCAGGTTCTAGGCCTTGAACCAAAACAATAAGGACAAGAAAAGCTCCTCAGGGTCTTGTGAACTGCCACCAAGGAAACCACTGCTTTGACCAGCAACATAAATGGACAGGTTTCTGGGACAGGGCCAGCCCCTTTTGGCTTGTTGCTCTCCAGAGATGGCTTTGACTTTGGTTTTCACACTGGGTACGATCCATCAAGTTACTCTTGAAAACATTAAGGTACACATGAGGATGCACATTTTTTGAAATCTTTCTTTTGATAATACATGTGTATGCAGGACAAAAGAGCTTTCCTACTACAGTTGAAAAACCATAGGTTTAGAAAGCTGCGAGGGCAAGGGTTCTCCCAGTCCCTAATTGTACCAAATTCCTCACAGGAATCATGGCAAAGCGAAAACAAGAACGAACCTCAGCATTTATGAACAGCACCACAGAGAAATGCAACTGTTAAGTATATAATGTAGACATGGTATTGACAGTATAAAAATCTTAAAAATAAAAATGAAAAACTCAAGAAAAGCCAAATGGCATACAGCAAATAGTTTACAGATCTGTTTCTTGAAAGCAAAATTATAATATACAGAATAAAATCAGATTTTATTAATTTTCACTTTCCCAAAAATTTGTAGGCATGAATGCTTCTGAGTCTGACCAGTAAAGTTCATATTTTAGTCCAATATGTTATTAGAGTTCTGTCTTATCAAGTCCGGCTTGATTATCAGAGATCATAGAAGGTAACAGAGTTTACCTTGAAACCTGTTCTTATATAAATGATAGGTTTTTCAATGTTTTCTTAGCTAACAGTTCCTTAAATTTAGCCTCAGAACCAGATTAAAAATAAGGTATCTTCTTTAAATAGCTGGTCATCATTTTAGGTTTAATCTAGGCAAATTACTTATTTGAACATCATACAAAAACTTCACAATAAATAATGAAAAGATTATGCAAAATCATTAGCTTCTGTTTGCAATACAGAAAATACATGTCACTTCTAGACCAAAATAATCCCACTGAAATACAAAAAGTGATAGGGAAGAATGAAGATCTGCAGGGACTGCTTTTGGTAGTCAGCTTCAACAAACCAACAACCATCAGCTCTTCTGGAAAGTGAGTTTTAATTTGCAGATAAAGGATGTCTTCGGTAGTTTAAAAAAATATAAACTCTAAAAAAGCTTGTGAATCATATACAAAAGCAGCTGTTTGAGACCAAGGCTGAAAACCAGAAGTTGGGTTAGCACCACCAGCAAAGCACAGGATCCTCTGAGTGTCCCGCTCTCCTAACTTGCGCAGAATGCAGACTTGAATGCTGTACACATCATTTACAGTTAGAAAAATCGGCCTCGAGTGCAGGGTTCCTGTGGAGTAGTCTTAAGCCCTAGGAGGCACCAAGCGGTTACAAAAGCTAGGTAACAATCCAGATCACAAGTTCCGACGATACAGTAAATCCCGGGTTGCCACGTCAACCTTTTGCTGGTAGTCCTCCAACTTGTCAAGTATCTTCTGGGACAGCTGTAAGAGGAAGAAAAGAATCATACAGAACAGCTGAAGGACTGAAAAAGAGGGATGCTGTTAATTACTTTGATTTAAATTTTTATTTTTTAAAAGATTTATCTATTTATTTGAGAGGCAGAGAGGTCTCGCACTCGCTGGTTCACTCCCCAAATAGCCACAACAGCTGGAGCTGAGCAATCTGAACCCAGATGCTGGGAGCTAGGAGCTTCCTCCAAGTCGCTCACGTGGGTGCAGGGGCCCAAGCACTTGGACCATCCTCTTGCTGTTTGCCCAGGCCACTAGCAGGGAGCTGGATTGGAAGTGGAACAGCTGGGACTAGAACTGGCATGCATATGGGATGCCGGCACTGCAGGTGGAGGCTTAGCCTACTATGCCACAGTGCTGTGCCCCCAACTACACTGTTAACCACTCTGTTTCATGCATTCAATTTAGAAGTCTGCGCTGTGACTCTGCTAATAAAATTATCTACAATACTCCAATTTGGTTTTCTTTGGCAATTTTCTAGATATGCAAATCACACTAGTATTAATTTTTCAAAATTTCACACATCTTTTTTTTTTTTTTTTTAAATTTTGTGTGCAGATTATTTATTTCTGCTACCTCCCACCAGGACTGTGCATCAGCAGGAAGCTGGAATTGGACGTGGAGCTGGAACTCAATCCCAGGCACTATAATATGGGCTGGAGGTGTCTGGTGGCAGCTTACCTACTGTACCAAATGCCCACCCCTTCACCAGTATTTTTTGTTTTAAAGGTTTTTTTATTTGAAAGGTACAGCGACAGAGACAGAGGAAGAAAAAGAAGAGAGATACTTTCCATCTACTAGTTTACTTTCCAAATAATCACAATAGCCAGGGCTGGACCAGGCTGAAGCCTGAAGCCTGGAACTGTATTCTGGTCTCCCACAAGGGTGGGAGGGAGCCAAGCATTGGGGCCATCTTCTGTTAGCAGAGAAGGGGAGCAGCTGGAACTCCGACCAGCACTCCAGTATGGGATGCCAGTGTCATAGGCAGTGGTTCAACTTGCTGTGCCACAGCACCAGCCTTGATACCGCATTTTTAAGAAAAGCATTACTATCAGCATCAGAGAAGCTGTATCTGATTTAACTAGTTCTTAGTTGCAAAGTGAAATATGGGTGAATATTTTAGATAGTTTTAATTATTGGTTGGTAAATTGTTAGTCCAAAGTGATAGGAACTAATTTTCATGGCTGTCTTCCTTTTTTCCTCTTCCCTATTTTATTTGAAAGCCAGAGTTAGAGAGGCACAGGCAGAGAGAGGTCTCCCATCCACTGGTTCACTCCCCACATGGCTGCAATGGCCAGAGCTGGGCCGATCCAAAGCCAGGAAGGAGTCAGGAGCTTCCTCCAGGTCTCCCACATAGGTGCAGGGGTCCAAGGACCTGGGCCATCTTCCACTGCTTTCCCACGTCACAGCAGAACGCTGGATTCGAAGTGGAGCAGCTGGGTCTCGAACCAGCGACCATATGGAACGGGCACTTGCAGGTGGCAGCTTTACCTGCGACGCCAGCATCCCACATGGGCGCCAATCTGAGTCCAGGCTGCTCCACTTTCAGTCCAGGCTAACGTGCCTGGGAAAGCAGTGGAAGATGGCCCAAATGCTTGGGCCCCTGCTACCCACATGGGAGACCCAGAAGCTTCTAGCTCCTGGCTTTAGCTTGGTCCAGCCCCAGCCTTGGCAGCCATTTGGAGAGTGAACCAGCAGATAGAAGATCTCTGTGTAACTCTGCCTTTCAAATTAGAAGAAAAAAAAAAAAAAAAGGAAAAACAGCTTAGAGGGTGGGCATTTAGCTCAGCAGTTAGCAGTTAAGATACCAGTTATGATGCCTGTGTCCCACAATGTCAAACACCTGGGTTCAATATCTGCCTCTGGCATCTGACTCCAGCTTCCTGCTGATGCAGACCTTGGGAGGCAGTGGTGATGGCTCAAATAGCTGGGTTCCCACCACTCACGTGGGAAACACATGTGGGACTGAATTCCCAGCTCTTAGCTACGCCTGGCGCAGTCCCAGTGATTGCAGGCCATTTGGTGGAATGAATTAGTGGGTGGGAGCCTTCTCTGTCTCTTTCAAATACATAGAAATTTAACAAAACATCCTACAAGACAGTTCTGGAAGAGAAACACACAGGAATATCAGGAACTTATATCCTGGTTCAACAACAAGTTTAAAATCATATTCAGTGATTTTCACTAACAATTCCTGGAGACATGCCATCTAGCTATCAAATAAGGAAATACTACTGTTTTTTCTTGTCAGACAAGCACATGAGTCCTGGCAAACGAGGCTGCACCTGCTGAGTTCCCTCAGGCCAGTGACAATTCATCAACCGTAGTTTAGGTACCGCTGACTCTGTCTGGTCTCATGTACTCAGCTGCAAACCTCTTCTATTTATAAAGGGATTGGGACAGCGTGTCAAGGGCAGTAAATGGCTTTTACCTTCCCTTTAATCCTTGAGAACTGGAGATCAGGCTGTGAGGCGTCACTGCCAGTGCAGTAGCTTACAGAAGATGCCTGGTAAGAGTTTACTCACCGCAATGTTGTGACTGTTGGCGCTGTTCTCTCCCAGAGCCTGGAGAAGCTGATCAATGGAGGAGTAAGGCAGCCACACCATGGGGGCTGTTGCGGACAGTGGAAACTGAAAAGGAAGATCGACTATTTAAAAAAAAAAATCTGAAAGGTGCACCGCTTCTCCTAGGTAGTTACTTTTGTAGGACTCTAATAAAAATGCTTTCTGTTTTGTTGTAAGAAAAAATTGCACGTGTATGCGCGCACACACACATACTCAACTGGGTCTTCCCTTTTCTCAACTGGGAACTTGTCCTTTTCTTGGCCAAATCAAATATATTTTTAAATTTATGCCCTCAACAAAACCTCCTAAATTGTTAATCAATGATAGTGAAAACTGAATTTGAATTATCTGGAAAAAAAAAATTGGGAAAATTTCTGAATTCTTTCCTGAGAGTTTAAGTACTTGGCTCTGTAGCTAACTAGACTTATTTAAACTTGGCTCTTCTATTTACCATCTATGTGAGGTCTGGCAACTCACTGAACCTCTGAGTCTACTTCCTCATGAGGGTGGGGAGTACTGAAACAGCCCCTTACAGAGCTGCTGTCAGAAACCAGCAAGGAAACTCTGGTAGACTTAGCACAGTTCCTGTACTGTACAAAATACAAGTTTATTTTTATTTCTCTCTCTCCATCAAACCCTAACTAAAGCCATTCTTTTAATGGAGAAAATAAAATATATTCCATTTTAAAAATAGGGAACTACAGATTCCTTGAGTTCCAATATTTAGTTGTTAAGTTGAAACAGTAAAGGTTAGACACGCTAATATACAATTTCCTTCTAATCCTCATCTTAGTGTGTTAATTCAGAGGAGAACGTCTATACAGGCCTACCTCAATTCCAAAGTACTGATGTCCTTTTCCCAATACAGCATCCACGTATTCTGAGACTAAATCCACAGCTTCTTCTAAAAGGTCATAGTTCAAGTACAGACGAAGCAGTTCAGCAGCATCAACCTTCTGTAAAAAAATCGGTGTTGAGAATATACCTGGGGCCGGCATTGTGGCACAGTGGGTTAAAGCCCCAGTCCACAGTGCCAGCATCCCAAATGGGTGCCAGTTTGAGTCCCAGCTGCTCCACTTCTGATCCAGCTTTCTGCTATGGCCCGGGAAAGCAGCAGAAGATGGCCCAATTCCTTTCGCCCCTACACCCACATGGGAGACCTGGAAGAAGCTCCTGGTTCCTACTTTGGGTCAGCTTAGCTCTGGCAGTTGTGGTCATTTGGGGAGTGAAACAGCAGATGGAAGACTTCTCTCTCTCTCACACCAGCATCCCATGTGGGCACTGGTTTGTATCCTGGCTGCTCCATTTTCAATCCCTGACAATGGTCTGGGAAAAGCAGAATACTCCCAAGTGTTTGGGACCCTGCTACCCACATGGGAGACTTGGATGAAGCTCCTGGCTCCTAGCTTTGGCCTGGTCCAGTCCCGGCCATTGCCATCATCTGAGGAGTGAACCAGTAGATGGAAGATCTCTCTCTTTATCTCTCTAACTCTGATTTTCTAAATAAATAAATCTTAAAAGACCTCTTTCTCTCTGTAACTCTGCCTTTCAAATAAATACATCCATTCATTCAGGGGAACAAGTAGAGTAGTTGTCAAATCCTACAACAGTGTTTAAGTCAGCATTGTCAAAATTGGGTTTTTGGACCATGCATTAGTTTCTCATTACTGTAACAAAATACCTTAGACAGGTTAACTTCATAGAAAAAAAAATAAAAGATTTATTTAGCTCCTTTATTTATTTAGAATGCTGAGTATCTGATTCCCTTGCATTTGTAATTCTCAAAATAAATAAATGAGTGCCTGAGTTTACTCATTTCTATTGTAGGTTCCTAAGAGTCCAGTTAGCTCTAGGCATACTCTGAGGCTCCATCTGTTAAATGGCCTTTCCTTTATTTTGTCTTCTAAGACACACTTCAACTTCTCTCCACTTCAGTTTCCACATTAGTCAAGTCAACAAACTTTCCCAGAAATGCTGATAACTAAAGGGGCAATCTGTTCACGTTAATGTTCAGAATTGTATAAATGACAAACACAAAACAAGTCCAAGGAGTCACTCATTTTATATTTGTATTTAATTTGTATTTAACTGAGGATGACAGAAAGTGAAGGTGATCCAGAAACCATAGTTCTTAAACATAAGCATGCATCAAAATCAAATTAAGACGTTGTTTAGAGGTAGATTCCTGGCTCTGAGCCCCAGGTGATTTGATTTTGTAAGGCTGGGATGGGATTCAGGAACATACGTTTTTTAAGAAGCTTACTACCGTCCGGCGCCGCGGCTCACTAGGCTAATCTTCCGCTTTGCGGCGCCGGCACACCGGGTTCTAGTCCCGGTCGGGGCACCAGATTCTGTCCTGGTTGCCCCTCTTCCAGGCCAGCTCTCTGCTGTGGCCAGGGAGTGCAGTGGAGGATGGCCCAAGTGCTTAGGCCCTGCACTCCATGGGAGACCAGGAGAAGTACTTGGCTCCTGCCATCGGATCAGCACGTGCGCCGGCCACAGCGCGCCAGCTGCGGCGGCCATTGGAGGGTGAACCAACGGCAAAGGAAGACCTTTCTCTCTCTCTCTCTGTCCACTCTGCCTGTCAAAAAACAAAACAAACAAAAACAACACTACAAAAAAAAAAAAGAAGCTTACTACCCAAATCATTCTGATGCAGAGGGTGTGCCTTTGCTTGGATATAGTTGGTCCCCCTAGGGTTCAAGTGTTGATGTTAGGAGATGGTGGGGCTTAGCTGTGATGTGATAAAGCCAAGAGGGCCCTCCTAGATGCCAAATGGATGGAGCTTTCTGGTAGGGACTTTTCACCTGCAAATTGTGAGTTAAATAAATCTTGTTTTTTTTTTTTTCCTCCTATAAGGTTATTTTAGTCTTAGTTTTTGTTTTTGTTTTTTTTTATGGCAACGAAAAAGAAACTAATGCATGGACCATGAACCTAATTTTGACAACCTTAACTTAAACACACAATTATAGTATGACAACTACTTCACCTACCCTGTGAATTTCTTGAGTAACGAATAGTAAATATTGCATCATACATGTAACTCATTATTCTAAATATACACCCATTGTTCACTGAGCACACAAGCAGGCAGAACTTAATTACTCATCTGTGGAACTTTCAACACCCAGTACTATGCATAGAATTGAAGTTACACTGTTGCTAGTTATTTTAGATATAAATGAGAAGCCACCCAAAGTATATGTCATAAACAATTTATGTTTTTCTTTTTTTGCTGTTTTAAAAAATGCTTATCTTGTTACTTATTGGGGGTGGCCGGGAGAGGGACAGGGGGAGGGAGATAAAGAGAGACAGATAAAGATCTCTTCATTGGGTCACTCCCCAAATGCCTGTAATAACCAGGATTGGGCCAGACTGAAGCCAGCAGCCTGGAATTCAATCTGAGTCTCCCATGTGGGTTACAGGGGCCCAAGCACTTGAGCCATTATCTGCTGCCTCCTAGGACTCATTAGCAGGGAGCCGGATCTAAAGCAGAACAGTTGGAAATGGAACCAGTCCTCTCATTCGGGATGTGGGTGTCCCAAGCTGTAGCTTAGCTCACTGTGCCATAATGCCTGCCCCTTCATCCTTATCTTTTTAATCATGTCATGAAGTTATATAGAATGATAAAGAGTAGGTTGTTACTCTCTTCAATATGAAATACCACTTACCTTGTAACTATTTATAAGCCAATTAGGCAGAGGCACTCCATGAGACAAGAGCTTATTGATTACACAGTGGTGATATAAATTATTCTGGACTTTGTATTTTTCTAGGTAAGTCGATAATAGTTGCCATGCTTCATCAGTAGCACTTGAAAAAAGCAGAAAGGACAATTTTCAAATTCTTTTCTATTATATTAAGTCCCACCCTGGTTGCTTAAGAGCTCCAAATTCTTAATTGAGATATACAGTACCATTCAAATCATGCATTTGCAGAGAGCAATCTTTAGAACCCCACAAATGAATTGATAATTTAGCTAAAATGTAGCTAATATTATTAGGGGCAATATGACTTAGGGGGATAGTACTAGAAATCAATGATTGGACTTTTTTCTATTTTGTTCCTATTAACCACATATTTATTTAACTGCATAACTCATATATCTTCCTTTCAGGATTTCTAAAAGAAGGAAACTGGTTCGGATCATTGGTTCCAAAAGCTGATCAATCACTAGGATTGTGTACAAGTTCTGAGTTAGAAGACAAGGGTGGTATCTCAACCTGTGTGGGTTTGTGTGTTTTTTACAATTTATTTATTTGAAAGGTAGAGTGATACAGAGAGATCTTCCATCTGCTGCTGGTTTATTCTCCAAATCACTGTACCAGCCAGGGCTGGGCCGGCTGAAGCCAGGAGCCCAGGACTCTGTCCAGGTCTCCCACATGAGTGGTAGAAATCCAAGTACTTGAGCCTTTACCTACTGCCTTCCCATGAACATTAGCAGGAAGCTGGATTGTAAGCACAGTAGCTGGGACTCAAATCGGCACTCCAACCTGGGATGCAGGCGTTCCAAGCAGTGGCTTAACTTGCTGTGCCATGACACCCATCCCATAATCTGTGTTTTAATAAAGGATTCTGAAGTGGTAATTCAGCGGTTGAAAATGAGTATCAGAGAACTTCTGCTATGGTTTGAATGTGTCCTTCAGAGTTCATTTATTGGTAATGTAATTAATGCAACAGTGTTGGGACAGGGACTTAATAAGCGGTGACCGGGATTAATGTTATTACTATAGGAACGGGTTCATTGTTGTGGGAGTGGATTGTTACAAAAGTGTGCTCGGCCCTCTCTTGCCCTTCTTTTTTTTTTTTACAGGCAGAGTGGACAGTGAGAGAGAGAGACACAGAGAAAGGTCTTCCTTTGCCGTTGGTTCACCCTCCAATGGCCGCCGTGGCCGGCGCGCTGCGGCCGGCGCACCGCGCTGATCTGATGGCAGGAGCCAGGTGCTTCTCCTGGTCTCCCATGGGGTGCAGGGCCCAAGCACTTGGGCCATCCTCCACTGCACTCCCTGGCCACAGCAGAGAGCTGGCCTGGAAGAGGGGCAACTGGGACAGAATCTGGCACCCCAACCAGGACTAGAACACGGTGTGCCGGCGCCGCAAGGCGGAGGATTAGCCTAGTGAGCCGCGGCGCCGGCTCTCTTGCCCTTCTGCCTTCTGTCATGGGATGCCATCACAAAGACCTTGCCAGATGCCAGCAGCTTGACAGTAAACTTCCCAGCCTCCAGAATCATGAGCCAAATAAACTTGCATGTTTATCAACGTCCCAGTTGCAGATATTGTTATAGCAGAATACAGAGAAAACGTCCACATTCTAAAACAATTCAGAGAGGAAAGTTTCCTGAGGGTTACGGTTGTTAGAGAAGGATCCTAAGGAAGAAACTGAAGCACACTGAGGAAGACGCTAATTGAGTACACTGGGAAAGTATATGTGAGAAAAGATCCGAAGATGTAGACAACGGGGACTGGTGGATGACAGACCACTAAAGAGTAGCCAGAGTCAAGCCAGCACAGGACGCTGTGATGACAACCAAGGGAAGAATGGGGTGAAAAAGGAACATCACTCTCTGAAGCCAAGGAAACGAACACTTTTCCCGTAAGAGTTCCTCTTCTTCACTGTCTTTGAGAAGAGAGAGATGGAGAAGCAGACATGTTCTAGTTAGGACAATTTATGACGTGATGTCTCCCTAATTAGAAATTTTCCAGCTTCTACAAAAATTTAGCCAAAAAACAAAGAAGGGACAGGCATTTGGCCTTGTGGTTGAGATGCCAGCATCCCGTATCTCATATTGGAGTGCCTGGGTTTGATACTTGGCTCTGGCTCCCGGTTTAAGTAACAGGGTTCCAGCTACCCACACGGGAGACCTGGACTGAGTCCCTGTTTCCCAGCACTGGCCCTGGTCCAACGCCGGCTGCTGTAGGCATTTGCAGAGTCACTAGTAAATGAGAGTTCTCTGTCTCTTGAATAAGTAAATAAATAATTTAAAAATTATGTATGTATCTGAAAGTCAAAGTTACAGAGGGAAAGGAAAGAGACAGAGGATCTTCCATCCACTGGTTCATTCCCCAAATGGCCAAAACGGCCAAAGCTGGGGGCTGATCTGAAGCCAGGAGCCAGGAAGGAGCTTCGTCCAGGTCTCTCAAATGGGTGCAGGGCCCCAAGCACATGGCCACCTCTGCTACTTTCCCAGGTCCATCAGCAGGGAGCTGGATTGGAACTGGAGTAGCCGGGCCTCAAACTATTGACCACATGGGAAGTGGCACTGCAGGTAAACAAATAATTTAAAAGAAAGAAAAGAGCAAAATAATCTGTGTAGGATAATTTAGTCAAAGAAAAACTACAGCGGAGCCAGTGCTCCATATGGATGCTGCTTCGACTCCCAGCTGCACCACTTCCAATCCAGCTCTCTACTATGGCCTGAGAAAAGCAGTAGAAGGTGGCTCAAGTCCTTGGGCCCTGCACCCATGTGAAGAGACCCAGAGGGAGTTCCTGGCTTCGGATCAGTGCAGCTCCAGCCATTGCAGCCAGCTGGGGAGTGAACCAGTGAATGGAAGGCCCCCTTCTCTCTCTCTGCCTTTCCTTCTCTGTGTGCAACTCTGACTTTCAAATAAATAAATAAATCTTAAGGGAAAAAAAAAAAAAAAAAGCTACAGAGGCAGGCATCATGGCAATGCTGGTTAGTGTCAGCTACTCCATTTCCAATCCAGCTTTCTGCTAATGCAGACCCTGGGAAGCAGCAGATGATGCTCTAGCCACTCATATAGGAGACCTAAATGGAATTCCAGGCTTCTGCTGCACCCTGGGCTGTTGCTGGCAGGTGGGGAGTGAACCACCAGATGGATGATCTCTCTCTATCTCTACCACTCTGTCAAATAAATTCTGAAAACAAAAAAAGAAAAGCAAAAGCAAAAGCTACAGTTTTGAGGCAGGTGAACCCTCCCAGAACTAGATGAACACACTGCTGTACCTGGATTCTTTAGTAGTGATGACAGATGACAGCTGATTGGCTGCTAGCCAGGTCCAGGCTTCTGCCTGTGCGGCTTCTCCTCCAAACTGCAGTTTGATGCATCTGCAATGAAAATGGCTTTATATCAGTAAACCAACTGCTGAAACCCATGACCTTATTCTGCTACTAAAACTGGAGTGATAAGATGACAATTTTCGATCCAGTCTACCATCAAATTCACTACTGAAGTACTGGCTCTTCCCTTTCTTCAAAGCCACACAACCTGATGAACCATCAGCCATTAGCAAGACTTGAGACAATTTACTTCCAAGAGAAAATTAATGGTAGAAAATTCTGAAAGTCTAAATACATTTCCAATTCACAAACTATTTGACTGATAGTAGGCATACATGACGTCAATAGGAAACATTTAAGACTGGGTAAAGCTGCCACCTGTGATGCTGGCATTTTATTTGGGTGCTGGAAAAGCAGTGGAGGATGGTCCAAGTGCTTGGGCCCCCCTGCACACATGTGGGAGACCCAGAAGATGCTCCTGGTCCTGGCTCTGGCATGGCCTATTGCGGCCATTTGGGAAGTGAATCAGGGGACAGACGCTCTCTGTTTCCCTCCCTCTCTGTAACTCTGCCTTTCAAATAAAATAAATCTTTGAAAAAAATTTTAATAACATTCAGAGGGTCTAACTGGACTGAACACAGCACACAACTTGTCTATATAAACTTGTCATAAATGGACCTCATTAGTTAAACCATGAGGTTTGCTCTTTTGATTTCTTAAATGAAGCTAAAGATCAAAATATTTTTTAAAAAAAGTAAAATCATAAGCCACTAAAAAAAATTAATGAACAGCTTAAACCAAACACTTTCTTTAAGTCACAAACAACTAATAAACCACTGGCTTGGGGTCTGCCAGGAGCCCATGAGTGCCGATTCGAGTGTCAGCTGCTCCTCTCTGATCCAGCTTTTGCTAATGCTCCTGGGAAGGCAGAAGATGGTCCAAATATTTGGATCCCTGCCACCCACATGGTGGACAGAGATGGAGTTACAGGCTCCTGGCTGCGGCCTGGCCCAGCCTCCAGCCATTAAAGCCACTTGAGGAACAACCAGTGGATGAAAGATCTCTCTCTCTGAGTTTTAAATAAAATCAATCTTCAAGAAAAGAAAATTAAGACAATAAAAAGACAATTTTATACATACTTGAAAGCAAGTCCCTCAAAGACTGGTGTTAAGGGAAGCTTAAAAGTCTGACAGAGGGATATGGCAGTGTCAAAGAGGCCAGCCTGAACCAAGAGAGTCACCATCTCCTCTGCTGACGAGCTTCCTGCAGAAAGGGAACAAGGTTATTAGTCCACTCACGGGCATATGCAAATTGGACTAAAAATGCCGTGCTTTATACCCATCTAGCACACTGTATCCACTGCCTGGTCCTGAAAGGCACCACGGTACCCACAGTCAGAGGCTATACCTGCTCAGTCCCTACCTGCCACGGCAATTGCCGATGGATCGTGCTGGGCCAGAGTGAGGCGGATTCGAGCCAAGGAGCACTCTTTTTCCAGATCCTCCAGCTCCAGGATTTCAATCTGCCGATTTGCTAGAAATCAAAGAGAAGTATTTTCAAACCCATGAGGAAGTGTCTACTAGATAAAGTCAACCTGTCATTTTTTTTTAAAGATTTATTTGTGAAATAGGGAACAAAAGAGATCTTATACCTACTGGCTCATTCCTTAATTAGGTGCAACAGCTAAGACTGGGCCAGGCCAAAGCCAGGAGCCAGGAACTCCATCCTGGTTTCCCACATGGTTAGCAGGGGCACGCACTTGGGCCATTTCCTACTGGTTCCCCAGGCACATTAGCAGGGAGCTGGATCATAAGTACAGCAGGTAGGACTTAAACCAGTGTTCAGATGGGATATGGCATCAGACACAATGCTGGTCCTGTCATTTTCTTTTAATCTTAAGTAAAATTTACTTCACAGAGGCATTAATTAAAGGAAAAAACAGAGGACTCAATAAAAGCTAAATTAAGCAGCATTCTGCCTCCTATCTACAACTGAGCCCAAGCACTCTAATAACAATAGCTACAGTGGAGGAGCTCCTCATAAGGTATTTTACGTGTAATTTAACTCTTACTGTCATCATTATCACTAAGAAAGGAACCTGCAGGGCTGGTGCTGTGGCAAAGTGGGTACAGCCACCACCTGTGATGCTGTTCTGCTTCCAATCAAGCTCCTTGCTGACACAACTGGGAAGGCAGCAGAGGTTGGCCTAAGTACTTGGGTGTCTATACCCATGTGGGAGATGCAGAGGAAGCTCCTGGCTTCTGATTGGCCCTGGGGAGTGAATCAGCAAATGCAAGATCTCTTTCTCTCTCTAACTTTGCCTTTCAAATAAATAAATCTTAAAAAAAAAAAAAAAAGAGAGAGAGAGAGAGAGAGAGAGAGAGCGAGCAAGTGAAGGAACCTGCACAAGGTGACAAAGGAAGAATTAAAAGCAAGTGTGTCCAAATCTAGAGCATAGGTTCTTCAGGAAGGATACCATGCATACTTGATAATTTCAAAGCAACCAGATTTTTTTTTTTTTTGACAGGCAGAGTGGACACTGAGAGAGAGAGACAGAGAGAAAGGTCTTCCTTTACCATTGGTTCACCCTCCAATGGCCGCGCGGCTGGCGCACCGCACTGATCTGAAGCCGGGAGCAAGGTATTTCTCCTGGTCTCCCATGCGGGTGCAGGGCCCAAGGACCTGGGCCATCCTCCACTGCACTCCCGGGCTACAGCAGAGAGCTGGCCTGGAAGAGGGGCAACTGGGACAGAATCCGGTGCCCTGACCAGGACTAGAACCCGGTGTGCCGGCGCCTCAAGGCGGAGGATTAGCCTATTGAGCCGCGGCGCTGGCCAGCAACCAGATTTTCAAAAAGTATGGCATTAAGCCAATTTAAATATAAAAGGCAACAAAAAGTTTTTAAAGCACTTTTGTTTCTCATACTGCTGTAGAAAAAATTTTTTAGTTGATTCATTTGAGAGAGAACATAAATGAAAACGTGTTCCCCCATCTGCTGGTTCACTCTCCAAATGCCTGCAATGGCCAAGACTGAGCTGGGCTGAGGCCAGGAGCCGGGAATGCAATACAGGCCTTCCTTGTGAGTGGCAGGAATCTCATGACCTAAGCCATCACCACTGCCTCCTAGGATCTGCATCAGCAGTAAGCAGAAGTAGGGAGCACAGCCAGGTATCAAATGCAGGCATTATAAACTCGGAGGTGGACATCTTAATGTCTAGGCCAAATACCTGTCCAGCACACATCATTTCAAAAGGCAACCAGATAACCTTTAGCAGATTAGAATGTTGAGACTAAAACTTTAAAGAAAGAACTTATTTTTAACAAATCCTATTTTTAGATTTATGCTAGCATATTCATATGTACACAGCAATATAATTATATATGATGTTATAGTATAACTATCGTCTATCATACACAACTGTATGTTTGCATAGCAGGCATAAAACATGGAACTACTGTCCAGCAAAGACCCAGCAGGAGAACCCTGACTCACACGGGGCAGCTGTGCACTCTCCATCGTGACTCCTCTTCGGAGATGCTCCAGGGCGATCATACTGATGAGACAAACAATGATTTAGCTGTGAAAATTAGTATTTTATTTTGTTGCCATTAATTTTTTTATTTATCTTTAAAATTTTTTTCAGTTCCAGCTGATTCATTAAAATTGTCAATGTACAGACTTCCGGCACCAAAAAAAAAAAAAACAAAAAAACAAAAACCAAAAAAACAAAAACAAAAAACAGGAAATGATGTCCATAGTGCATGTGTCTGCTTTGCCATCATTTGATCATTTGCTACAAAATACACAGATGGCCTGTATTTTATTTAGATTATATTGGCTAGCATTAACTTTGATTCACAGCTTTCATGCCTGAATTCTCAATACAAACTACTTTTCTTTTAACTAGCACAGCTTGTCTTACAAAGATACTATCACTATCAAAGAAATGGAGCTGTTTACCAAGTTGGCTCACTTAGCTATAAACACATCACTGAGTCCAAGGACATGGATCTCCATATAAACCAGCTGGCCTTCCATGGATCCAGAGTTGTTATTTTCTACCCACAACCATGGGCAACAGCCCAGTAAATGCAGGAACTACATAACAGAAGTAGCTGGGCATATGCAACCTATCAGCACAAAAGTAAACATTACCAGTGCTTGTCGCTTAAAACAATGACCTGCAGACTGAATTAACAACACAACTGAAATAAAAGCAGCTACCATTTACTGAGTATTTTCTGCAAGTCAGACATGGTCTCTGTTCTAAGCAGTCTACTCAAATTATCTCATTTAATACCTAAATAATCCTCAAGGGTAGATATTATCCTTATTTTATGCAAGAAGATAAATGAACAGCAAAATATTAAGCAATGTGTCCATAGTCAAGTATGTCTAACTTGTCCAAAATCACTCTGCAATACTTCTTCCTACAAGAATTCTAAAACTGGGGCTGGCACAGTGACATAGTGGATAAAGCTGCCACCTGCAGTGACAGCATCCCATATGGGCGCCAGTTTGAGACCCGGCTGCTCCACTTCCCATCCAGCTCTGCTATGGCCTGGGAAAGCAGTAGGTCCTTGGGCCCCTGCAGCTATGTGGGAGACCTGGAGGAAGCTCCTGGCTTCTGACTTCGGATTGGTGTAACTCCATTTATCGCGGCCAATTAGGGAGTGAACCAGCGGATGGAAGACCTCTTTCTCTGCCCTTCTCTCTCTGTGTAACTCTTTCAAATAAATAAATAAATCTTAAAACAAAAAAACAAAAAAACAAGCCAGTGTATATGATCCCCAAATTCCAATATAGAAAGTTCATACCACTGCACCAGATGCTGGCTGCACAATCCATGCGTATTCTGGACGAATAAGTCGTAAACAATTAATAGCAGCCAGGTAACAGTTGCCTTGCTTCTCCAGTCCCCGGAGAGTTCGAACCTCTCTGCCAAGACGCATTCCATATTCAAACATCACCGTGCCAGCTAAAAAGAATATAAAACCAGACATAAAGATTTCACAAATGTGCTCTTTAGAGAGATACACATAGCAAACTTGTTACACTAAACAAATATGAAAACATTTTTGTAAAGATCTATTTATTCCAAAGTTACAGCAACTGACAGGGAAGGAAGAAGCGAGAGGAAAGGAGGGGGACATTCAGGGGGTTATCTTTTGTCTGCTGCTCGACTCCTCAGTGGCCCCAACAGCTAGGTCAGGGCCAGGCTGAAGCCAGGATCCAGAACTCCATCCATGGGTAGCTGGGTTCCACTGCCTTCTCAGGTGGATTATCAGACAGCTGGATCAGAAACAAAGCAGCTGGGACTTGAATCTGCACTCCAGTATGAGATGCCAGCATTGTAAAAGTGGCAGCGGGGCTGGTGTTGCTACGTAGCAGGTTAAGATGCAGCCTGTGATGCTGGCATCCCATACGGGTGCCAGTTCAAGACCTGGCTGCACCACTTCCAGTCCAGCTCCCTGCCAATGTGCCTGGGAAAGCAGCAGCAAATAGACCACTGCACCCAGGTGGGAGATATGGATGAAGCTTCGGGCTGCTGACTTCAGCCTGGCACGGCCCTAGCTGTTGCAGCCATTCAGGAAGTGAGCCAGTGGATGGGCTATCTCTCTCTCTCTCCTCTCCCCACCCCCTGTAACTCTGCCTTTCAAATAAATAAAAATAAATCTCTAAAAGTCCTGGCTTAACCTGCTGTGCCACAATGTCAGCCTCAACGTTAAAGTTTGAAATGAAAAAAATCATGTGCTGGCAAGGATTGGAAAAAACTAGAACCCTGTGCACTGTTTTTGGGAATATAAAATGGTGCGGCAGCTATGTAAAACAGTATAGAGGTTCCTCAAAAAATTAAAAATACAACTACCACACAACCCAGTAATTCTATTTCTTGATACAACGTGGACGAACCTTGAAGATATTATGCTAGTCGAAATAAGCAGTAGGCAAATTCATATAGAAGGGAAGTGAAATGGTAGTAGCCAGGAACTGGGTGTGGGGTGCATAGGGGCTCTTAGTTACGGGGCATAGAGCTTCAGTTTTATAAAATAAAGAGCGTTCTGGAGATTGGTTGCCCAACAACGTGAATGTACTTAACGCTACTGAACTGTATATTTAAAAGGTTAAGGGACGGGGCATTTGGTCTAGCAGTTAAGACCAGCTTGGGATGTGCGTGTCCCATATGGGAGTGCCTTCACTGAAGCCCTGGCTCTGGTTCCCATTCAAGCTTTCTGCTAACGTGTACCCTGGGAAGCAATTCTCTGGGGCCAGCGCTGTGGCACAACGGGTTAACAGCCTAGCCTGAAGCGCCGAAATCCCATATGGGCGCTGGTTCAAGTCCCGGCTGCTCCACTTCTGATCCAGCTCTCTGCTATGGCCTGGGATAGCAGCAGAAGATGGCTCAAGTCCTTGGGCCCCTGCACCTGCGTGGGAGACCCGGAAGAAGCTTCTGGTTCCGGATCAGTGCAGTTCCAGCTGTTGCAGCCAATTGGGGAGTGAACCATCAGAAGGAAGACCTCTCTCTCTCTGCCTCTCCTCTCTCTGAGTAACTCTGACTTTAAAGCAAAATAAATAAATCTTAAAAAAAAAAAAAAAAAAAAAGGAAATACCTCTCTTGTCCTTCAAAACAAATAAACAAATAAAACTTAAAAAAAAAAAAAGAAAATGGTTAAGATGGCAAATTTTATGTTGTGTGTTTTAGCACAATTTTTAAAAATGGAAAATGATAGCTTTAACTTTTTTTTTTTTTTTTTTTAAGATTTATTTATTTGAAAGGCTGAGTTAGAGAGAGATGGGGAGAGACAGAAAAATATCTTCTACCTTCTGATTCACTCCCCAGATGGCCGAAATAGCCAGGTCTGGGTCAGGCAGAAGCTGGAAGTCCGGAACTCCATTCTGTTCTCCCGCATGGTTGTAGGGGCCCAACTATTTGGGGCATCTTCTGTTGCTTTCCCAAGTGTATTAGCAGGAAGCTAACTGAAAATGGAGCACTCCAATATGGGAGGCTGGTATCCCAAGTGACCATTTAACCTGCTGTGCCACAACACTGGCTCTCTGCTAAAACTCTTAAAACAGTTTTTGTTTTTAAGGTTTTAATTTATTTTTAATTTATATAATAATTGTATGTACTTATGGGGAACAATGCAATGTTTCAATGTATGTATATGTATTTATGTAGAAGGATCAAATCAGGCTACATAATATACGCTTCGTATCAAATGTTTACCAATCCTTATTAAATAAAAAAGATTTAAAATTTTTTTTTCATTTAGTATATTTATTACTTATTTATCTGAGAGGTACAGAAAGAGAGGAAGAAGGAAAAGAGAGAACAAGCTCCCATCTGTTGGTTTACTTCCCAAATGTTTGTAACAGCTGCAGCGAGCCCAGGCCAGAGCCAGGAGCCAGGAGCCAGGAATTTAATCTGGGTCTCTCATAAGTGGCAGAGACCCAATTACTTGAGCCATCACCTGCTACCTACAGGGTGCACATTAATAGAAGCTGGGATCAGAACAGAAGTTGGTACTCAAATCCAGACACTGACAGATGTGGGCGTACCAACAGGTGTCTTAATCACTAGGCCAAATCCCTGCCTCTTTTGACTTTCAGATACTACATTCCTGAACCAAGAGCAAAAGACTACATTAGAGGACTAGTCTCAGCCACTTTTTCACCAAGAAACGTCTGGACACTCTGTCCAAGAACACACCCTCTATTACACTTTAGATGCAAAGAGTGAAAGAGATACTGAAAAATACACTGTTCTGGGACAGCACAGTCTAGAAACCAATTAACATTTAAGAATTCTTTCGGTTTTCAAATAAAGCTATATTTCCTCTCAACAAATATTTTTTGAGCACTTAAACAATATGTGAGACATGATGTAAGAAGCATGTTCTTGTTCCAGAAAGGCTGGAACATTAACCTTGTTCAAGTGGTCCTAATCTGGTTGATATAATGGATGTTAATTGTGAAAGCAATGAGAAGTCTTTAATAGTTTACATTTCCCTTCTTGAATGAGTTAAGGAATCAAAGACTATGAAAACATTTTCCTATTAGGAATATTAATAAGAACATGCCTCAGATTAACTACATCCAGGAGCTGATGTTGTGGTGTGGTGGGTAAAGCTGCTGCCTGCAACACCGGCATCGCAGATGGGTGCTGTTTCATGGCCTGGCTGCTTTGTTTCCGATCCAGCTCCCTGCTAATGGCCTGGGAAAAGCACCAGGAGATCACACAGGTGTCTGGGCCCCTATTGAACACATGGGAGACCAGATGAAGCTACTGGCTCATGGCTTCAGCCTAGCCCATTGCTGGCTGTTGCAGCCATCTAGGGAACGAATTAGCAAATGGAAGATCTCTTTGTGTGTCTCTCTTTCTCTCTTTATAACTGTCACTTTCAAAATAAATAAATCTTTAAACAATGTTGAAAAAGGAAAAAACTTGAGCAGGATATCATTTGATAACTTTTAAATGTCAAATTGACATCTCCCTTTAAGGAAGTGACAATTCAATCTAGCTAACAAGGAATATCATCTATTCAGATGACTCAAAGACACTTCAGCATGGTGTTCCATGAACTGATAAAATCAAAGACAAACTGGCACTGGAATTCAAAACCATTCATAAGAATTCCAGAAACTTTAGTGAAAAAGCTAGTTTCCTTATAAATGGACAGAATATGCACATAGAATACATTCCCTGGAAATGCCTTGTCAATGTTCCAGAATGAGAGTAAGCGTATATATTTCAAGGCTAATAGATAATATTTAGAAGAGTGAAGCTAATCTTGTTTTCAGAAATAATTAAAAATTACATAAGTCAAACACAGAATAGTTTTGTGAACAAGTAGTAAACTACTAGGGTTGCCTCCCCCGCACAGAGACTGGCTCCAGTGCTCACCTTTGCGGTAGTTGTGGCGATAGATGTGAAAGGCATAGAGAAGTTCATAGTAATTGTGGGTCATAAGGTCCACAGCTCTAGCACGTGATTCAATTATTCCCACAACCTAAAAGAAGAACCGGTCACATATCAAATTTAGTAGCAATCACCGTAACCACCACAGCTGCTCTGAGCCATCAGAGGGTAAATAAAATTACCTCATTATGCAGATTCACATAGGGAAACTCTACAAGATCCTGTAGCTGTGAGCGTTCACAAAGAACTACCACCAGCTGTCGCAAACAATCTAACTGTCTAAAAGATAAAGAAAGGGATAGGAAGGTAAACTCTCTGGGCAGGCGGAACAGGGCTGCTAAACTGACTTCTCTAAAAAAGAGCATGAGCTTACCTGCTGGAATCAGGGATTTGGGTTAAGGCCTCATATGCTTGGCTATTGTGACCCAAATCCAAATGATGTTTGAAAATGCATGTCCTCAAAGTAGCCTAAATATAAAATTTAAGTCAAAAATCAGACAAGACCAACAGAAATTAATATGCTACATCCGCAACAAGTGTCAAGGAAAACACTAAATTACAGTCCGTTCTTACTTGACTTTTCCAGTCATCACCTGCTTCAGTTATTGCTGAGGTCGCCAGCTGAATAACCAGTTCAGGCAAACCAATAACATCTAGTAGGCGTAAAACCTAAGTGGAAACAGAAAAAAGTTCCATTAAAATTAATATACTAGTATATTCCAAATCAAATTATGGTTTTAAGAAATGTTTATTTAGGGGTTGGCACTGTGCCATGGCGGGAAAAGATGCCGTCTGCAGTGCAGGCATCCCACATGGGTGACAGTTCAAGTCCTGGATGCTCCACTTCCAGTCCAGCTCTCTACTGAGGCCTGGGAAAGCAGTGGAAGATGGCCCAAGTCCTTGGGCCCCTGCACCCACGTGGGAGACCCAGAAGAAGCTCCTGGCTTCAGATCGGTGTAGCTCTTGCCACTGCGGGCAATTGGGGCGTAAACCAGTGGATGGAAGACCCCTCTCTCTCTGCCTCTCCTTCTCTCTCTGTGTAACTCTTTCAAATAAAATAAATAAATCTTTAAAAAAAAAAAAAACAATATTTGCCCTCCATCAATCAGATGAAGACTCTGAGCTGCAGAGTAACTTGCCCAAGGGCACACACTGGGGAGACCTGTGTTTAAATCTCAGCATCTGGACTCCATAGTCTATAACTACATGGCTTCCAGGATAATCTCATAACATGGTGAGCATGTCTTATTCTATCCCTGTGATCTGCTTTAGTTTATTCACGGCACTTTTCGCCACCTGACACTGTATCTGTCTAGTCACTGCCCTGACTATGAGCACTGTGGGGAGCAACTTGGACTAGACTAAGTTACTGGAATTAAGACTTATTCTATGCATCTGCTCTCCCACAATATGGCACTGAGAAGGGAGAAACAGCTTCTACACAGCTGCCTCCAGTTCAGCCAATAAACTGTAGGACCTACTCCTGATTGGAGGAGAGCAGCGTACTCGGCGTGTGGGTAGCAGAGTTTGGATTGGTGGAAGAGGACTATAAAGGAGGAGAGAGACAACATGCACCAGGAACATCTATCTGAAGGAACACCTGTGCAGCCCCCGAGAGAGCCGGCCGGTGGTGTGCCGCTCCCCCGCGGAAGTGGGGAAAGTGGCAGGGGGAACCGCCCTTCCACAGAGGTGGAAGGGACGGTAGCCAACCCGGGAAGAACCAGCAGCAAACCCGGGGAGGGCCGAGCAGACGAAAGAACAGCACAGGGTCCTGTGTCGTTCCTCCACGAAGAGGGGGAGCGACAGAGCACTAAGCACTGTGAGGGCAGAACTTGATGCTCACGCCTACATCAGTGCTTAGAGTACACAGCAGAATTTCAATAATCCTTTGCTAAATGAATAAATGCAATTTCACTATTTTTTTCTACTAATTGATTACATCACAGATGAATTTAAGGAATGGTAAACAAATTACCACATAGCCTTGTAAAAATCCTAAACAGAATACACGTAATGTCTGACATAACTGATCTCTAACACCAGACAGGACAGTGGCCTTCAAACTACTGTGATTGTCCACCTGATGAACAGTGTCTGCAAATACTCCCCAAAATGTGCACATGTATTTATTTATCTTACATATATGCATTTCCCTAATATGTGTATCTAACAACACACTTAAAATATATGCTTATAGATTTTTACAAACTATAAGTAGTGGGCTGATGTTCACAAAGTGACCATATCGTCAATACCAGTGTCCAGATTAAGAATTTTATTGGCAGTCCAAAGCCCCCTTGTGACTCCCTCCAGCCTCTATTCCCCACATAAACCATCCTGCTTAACTTTATGAAAATAGAATCCGACTTTTTTGTTTTCCTGCTTTTTGTTTGTAAAAGTGGTCTGTTTTATTACATGTAGCATTCATTTCATTGTTGTGCTGCATGTTCTTTTTTCAAAAGATTTATTTGAAAGGCAGAGTGACAAACACACACACGAAGCTTGATTTTCCATCTGCTGGTTTCCCCAAATGGCTCCAACAGCTGGGGCTGCACCAGGCTAAAGCCAAAGACCCCAGAATTCCATCTGAGTCTCTCTCATGGGTGGCAAGGGCCCAAGTATGTGGGCCAATCTTTGTTGCTTTCAAAGACACGTTATCAGGAACTGGAATGGAAGCAGAGCAGCCAAGACTTGAACTGGCATCCAGTACTCACTGTGCCACAACACTGGCCCGCCGCTGTGACTTCTTTGAAAGAATATAACACAAGTCATGGATTCATTGTTAATAGATGCTTGGGGTATCTTGAGTATGACTTTTATGAATATGCTACTTGGAACATAATTACACATATCTCTTACAAATACACACATCTTTCTGGATGTATTTAGAACTGCAGTAACTATAACGACAGTTTTTCAAAGTGATTATAACAAATACATACTCCACCATGGAATTAGGATGCTTAATGCCTTGAAAATCTTCATGGTTTCACACTGTCTTGAATTGTTATTTCACATTCAAGGTTCATCTACTTAAGATTTATTTTTTTTATTTTTTTTATTTTTTGACAGGCAGAGTGGACAGTGAGAGAGAGAGAGAGACAGAGAGAAAGGTCTTCCTTTGCTGTTGGTTCACCCTCCAATGGCCGCCGCGGCCAGCGCGCTGCGGCCGGCGCACCGCGCTGATCCAATGGCAGGAGCCAGGAGCCAGGTGCTTTTCCTGGTCTCCCATGGGGTGCAGGGCCCAAGCACCTGGGCCATCCTCCACTGCACTCCCGGGCCACAGCAGAGAGCTGGCCTGGAAGAGGGGCAACCAGGACAGAATCTGGCGCCCCGACCGGGACTAGAACCCGGTGTGCCGGCGCCGCTAGGCAGAGGATTAGCCTAGTGAGCCGCAGCGCCGGCCTCATCTACTTAAGATTTTAAAATAGCACTCCTGACAAATACAAATATTTTTGGCCTATTGTTAGATCTATTAGGCAGTCATGGTCTTTGCTTTATAAAGTGGCTGATGAAGAGACTGTACCAAAGGTAAGAAGTATCAGCTTTATCTTCTCTCATTTACCTGTACTGTTAGTCAGTATTTCTTCAGTTTGGCTTCTTTAAGAGTATTTTTCAAAGCCACATTGTGAAAATGAGTTTCATCAAATTAAGCAATATGACGTGTAAATCCATTTCACCAGGATTTCCTAAGCTAGTGGAATTGTATGGGTCAGTGAGGGTGCCAGTACCCACTGGTGACCCTAATCCTGATATTCCTCCCTCAGGGACCTGCCTCCAGATCCAGTGACAAACAACCACCAGGTCAGCCCAAGTGAAAAGCACCAGAGTCCACGCTTACTACATCTTAATTTATTCCTTTGGTAAATGAGGCCT